TATTTAAAAAAACTTCTATGATACTAACAAAGATTAAAGTATAGTCAATATAATGTATTATTTGCTACTAATGTATTAATATGGAAAGGAGAAAATGGGAAATATTTAGAAATCTTAAAGGGAAAACTTCCTTTTGGTGGTGGGGGGAGAATCACAGTCTTTGGAGTTTGCAAGCAAGTGAAGTAAGTGAATCACTTTGTCCAGATGGTCATATAGTCCACTGTACTGGCTGCAGTGTTTGCCAGCAGCCACCTTGAATATTCAAGCAGTGACCATGCCTTCTCCTGGTGCTTGATTCTGGTGAGGGATGAGCTGTGCACAGGGAAAGCATCCCCCGCATAACCTGGAGGCCATGGGTTTTGGAACTCTTGCACAATCCAACCCTGTCAGGTTTGAAAAATACCACAAGCCACAATCGAGGTCTGCATTTTCCAGACAGTGCCCATGCATGTTGTAGCAAGCGATTGTGCAAACCTGGTCAATGCATAAGCCCGGAACAAGCATAACAAGTATGCATTGTAGCAACACCAATGGAACAAAACAGAGATGATAGGATACAGAACTGTATGTTAACAAAATAAACCAAGGAAATACATTTGCAGCAACAAGCCATGGAATCTGTTTCTTTGTTTATGACACATTTCTTTATATTACACATGAAAATACGTCTGTCTACATGTAGGCATGATAAAAAAAATGCCTGGGTGACTTTAGGCCAGTTACAGACTCTCAGTCCAACCTATCTCACGGGGTTGTTGTTAGGAGAATTATGTAAGTTGCCTTGAGTTCTTTGGAAGGAAAAAAAATAAAGGCATATAAATGTCATAAATACATTGATTAAAATAAATAAGTATGGAATTTGTTCTTCCTAATATGTTTTACCTTAAAGCACTGCATTAATTCTTCTCATAAAATTAAAAATGGGGAGAAATTAACTGAACAGCTGGGTCAGCCATTGGAAGAACTACAGTGGTTAAAGTTATTCTTTTCATACATGTCTGAGTTGCAATCATTATTTTTGGGCTCTCTGTCTCTTGTGGAATGCTAGGTAGAATGCAGCCAAAATATTGGCCTATACTGCTTTAAAAAGTATATGAGGATATATTAGAAGATGGCACCAACTCATTTCCCTATGACAGTTACAGAGCAGCTAATGAGGTCAGTGCTAGTATGATCTTTGCCCACTAATAAAAATTGAGTGCTTATTTAGAAGATTACCTAATAACATAAACAAACATTAACTTGTGTAGTTTCCAACTGTGAGTGAACGTCAGTGTACTAAAGAACTTAACTTGTTAAAGGACTATCTCTTCCCTGAACTACATCTATGTTTTTCAGTAAAACAATTCACAATTGTCCAGAAGTGAATTAAAATTTTCTTCAGTCCATAGTGTAGATTACTGAGAAATCCCAAAATTTCTATTTCAACACATTCAACTCAGCTGAAATTAAACACATGACGTTATTGTCAAAATTATTCCTCGACTTCAATGGAAGAAATTATAGAAGTGAAAATAATCACAAATATTTTCAATTTATATTGTTCTAAAGAGCTATTAAACAGTTATATTTTCCAAAGCTCACCCTGATGAACCTTGCTGATTGAATTTATATAAAAAAATCAAAGACTAATTCTATTCATGAAGGAAAAGTAATCCAAACTTTACTTCCCATTTCTTCTTGCAAAGATGTGGTAAAAAAAGTGAAAAACATTGTTCAGACTGCCCAAAGTTAAGAACAAATAAAAGCGCATGTTCAATGAGCTGCACTTATTTGGACAAGTTGGAACATGGAACAGGGCCAGCACTTGAGTGTTAGGTAGCAGAATAAACAATTTATGTAAACACTATCTTCAGCATGGTAAAAAATGCTACCCAAAATTGTTCCTGAAGCCTCAGAGATGATGACTATTGAGATTATTCATAATAGACAGCCATGAGCTATCAACCTACAATATGGAGTGGTTACATATCAGCAAGCAACCTATACACATGAAGCTAAATTACGTATTTTGTGCTCATGCAGATTTTCTTTCTTTCTATCCAAGAAATAAGGATGTGTGACCAAAAATGGGAAGAGGGCAAACTCCACCTACCAAAAAAGGAAAGCTGTTCACAACTTGTAAGAAAATATGTTACTTATACAACTTCTATAAACTGGGAATGTAAACACACACATGGAAAAATAGGTAAACCTAAAAACAGGCCACCCAATTCTTTTGATAGGCTCTCCTCCCCTTTTTTCATATTTTGTTTGCCACTTTAAGAGAACCACTTTGGATACATGCAGCCCTCTACACTTGAAGGATTACAGGCATCCTGTGCAGTGTGAGAAGAATGTGGAGGCAAAAGTCCCCTCCATACTCCTCCTGCCCTACAGAGCACCTAGAAAGTTGATTTTGACCATCTAAGTGCTGTGTTCCAGAAGAAGAGAGAAGGAAGCTGAGATGTTACAAGAATAGCTCATATTGTAGTGGAGCCTGTCCCTTTCCTTCGCTGTCTCTTGGAACGCCTACAAAACATATTTTCCAAAGTCACATTTGTGATCTTGGAGAAGCAGGCACTGCAACTCTTTCCACACTCGCTGCAAGTGGAGGGGAACAGCACCTTCAACCTCACAGCAAGTTTCTGAGATCAGAGCTGAGACTCTGTAAAATGCTCTGTCCATCTGGACAAAGTCAGTTATCTGCAATGTTTACTGCATTTTCAAGAAAACAGATATTTCAGGCTGTGGATTTATTTACAGTGTGAAACTTCAACTGAGGTATTCTGAAAGAACACTGTTCATACTCTGTCTTTCATTCTCTTTTAAATCTTACACGCATTTTTATAAGTATGGACTTGAAAAGGCCCAAACTGTCACTACAGCTTCCAAAGAATTTTTTTGACTATGGAAATATTTTGCTAACAAACTTTTAATGATTTTAGACTAAAGTATATATTGTATTTTATTACCCCACATCATTTATTGAAATGTTTGTACTTTAGGAATTTACTGAATTCAATGTACATGAAATTTATTCTGTTCATTTACTGAATCACTGTTCTTAGATACACAATTAAAAAACACTGATAGTTTATTATAGCCTATCTATAGTTAAGATAATTTAAATTTTATTTTATCTGTTAGTGTTCTGCATTTCTCAAAAGCTAAAGCTTAATAAAAATAATAAAATACTGTATCACAGTAAAGTATAATACAAAATCCTTAATGTTTAAAACACATGAAAACCTGCAGTAGTGGAAACAACGAAAAACAAACAGAGAACAGAAAGAGGATAGGTATCTTTGGTTCACAGTTCTGGGGTTGTAAACAGTGCTCTGATCACAGAGGCGGGAATGAGAGTTTTGATTCCCCACTCCCTTGAAGCTGGCATGGAAAGATCCATGTCAGCTACTTTATGTGGTCAGAAAAGCAACTCTGGAGAGGGAGCGAGGGATGCAGGGTGTGAAGGAGACTAGAGACCCCAGGATATGAGATCCAGCAGACATCCCAGCCTCCTTCCCAACTGCTCCAAGATGCATACATGTAGGCAAAGAAACCCATCTAGAAGAATGTGCTGGGTGGAAGGATGGGTAGGCAAAGACCAGCTTTTCCCCTTCTCCTGCTCTGGTCAGGATCAACTTCTTATTGAGGTTAGTAAAGGTTTCATACAAATCTTAGCAAAGATTTTATAAGAGTTTAGTAAAAGTTTTTATAAAAGATTTTTATGTCTAGAACATTTAGCATTGTATTTGACATGGATGTATTTAGAATTAGTTTTTCTATTACCTCCCAATAGCATTTTAAACATTCTATTACTTCTGACTATTTACATATGCTTTTCATATGTTAACCCATGCAATTATTGATAGCGATTTGTCACATTTAAGTCCAATATATATCAATTGTCTGTTCTTACAGCTTGCTACAGTGCATTTATATTTACTTTCTTGTATGTGAATTTCTGATTTGATGTGGTTCGTCCTTTTATGGCCTATTTTAGGGCTTATAAACAGCAGGACATCGTTGCAGGATGACAGGGTAACCCTGATGCTTGTTACTTTTTTGATGCCAAGGTTCCATGTGAATTCTGCTAGGCTTCTGTGGTACAGCAAGGCTGGAGGGAGGGGAGTACTCAAAGACACCAGGAGAAGGAAAGTTGCATCATTCAAGATCCTTGAGATTACCACATGTTCAAAACTACACTACCAAGACTAACAGGGTTACAAGTTGCAATCTGCAGAATATAATTCTTAACATTACAGATGAATTGGGAAAGACTGCCAGCAGTGCATCTCTCACCGTGTTTCCTTCGGCATACCCCAATTCACCTTTCTCCCCTGTCTGTTGTAGGGCAAATATTGGCAAGCAGGACAAGTAGAAAAATCCAAGAAGGGACTCAGCAGGAGATATAGCAGTGTTAATCTCTTTTATTGCATCAATACTGTTAAAGGAAAAAGTCATTTTTTCAGGTTGTAACCTGCAGTCCTAACAGTCTGCAACCCAGGTTTTATGGGCACATTGGTTAATGCCATGACATGCCAGTGTTGTTAATTCAGCAGGGCATAACTGAGCTGACAGTGTGTACAATACAGAACTTTATTACCAAACTGAACTATTTCTGATTGAATGTAAATGCAAATGAGCCCATAGTTTAAAAATGTTCCTCAAGATGGAAGCGAAGGGAACTATTTATAGTTAAATGGTATATTAAAACCTTTAGTAAAATGTTGCTCCTTTCAACTGCTTGCTTCCCCAAACAATTGTTACTAAGTTTAAAAAAAAGATGTAGGAGAAACAGCTAAGTGTGCTCAACATTCCCTTGTACAAGAATGAAATTAGGAATACTTCCAGGTCTGTGGCTTGGACTCTAACTTAGTTAGAGTAGCCACCACTTTTGCATCATGTTTTATTTAACCATCAAGGCAAATCAAGATAATACTGCAAATAATAGAGTAACACACATGGTAGATGGGGAAAATTAATCTTGCTTTTTTTTCTTTAAAGAAAAGTCTAACCTGAGTTCTGTTAAATGCCACACGTGCAAAAACTGCCTGCGAGATTCCTGCTCGTTTCAATTCATCACGCACCCACTGGTAGATTTCGGAAGACACCTCTGTGTTAGTTGAAACCTGCTGCTCCAACGGCTTGTTCATGGACCTGCTGACGGGAGGAGGATGGTTCAAGTACTGTTGGTTTAAGGACTGTTGGGCTAGAAGTCTGTTCACTGCATACTGCTGGTTTAGCAACTGGGCCATTACCAGCTGCTGATTTACCAACTGAGGACTAATGGGAGTAGATACAAGTCCAGGGTGCAGGTTTGGAAGTGGGGTCCGAACAGATGGTTGACTGCTATGAGAAAGCTGAACAGGGGATGGAGGCTGCTCAGCTGTGTTCCCTGGGACTGGCTGGTGACCAAAGTTGACGTGGTTGGCACCTTGTTGTGATAGTTCAGAAAGGCTATCCATTTCAGCTAGAGGGAAAATAAGGGATGTTATTTATTTAAATGAAATGTTTTACAGCAGGGGTACAGAACCTCAGGCCCAGAGACCATCTCCAGCCCTCTGGGGTCCCTTAGAAGGCCATGCCTGCTTTCACTGGTCCCTTCCCACAACCACTTAGTTTTTTGAGGTTTCCCAGTTTTTATGCAAGCTTTCACCTACAATCTTAAAGGTTGAAACACCTCTTCTAAGTTTTAATTGCTAGCAGTAACAGCTTTAAGCTTAAAAATGCGGATATTTTTGGTCCCATCCCTTTTGCCTTCAGCTGTGCTCACCATTGAAATATGGTCCCCAGAAATGTCTCTAAAATGCAACCCAGCCCTTGGGCTGAAAGAGGTTCTGCACCCCTGGTTTACAGGCAGATAAAAAGAGTATGGTTGATGACCTTCATGAGACTATTGCTATCTTATTCTCTATCTGTTTCAAGAGATGCTAATAATACAATATTATTAGCATTTTCCTTGACCTTCCGGAGTATTTTGATATTTTATACATATTTTAACATGTTCCTGGACACTGTCTTATGAATACTCTTTATTTCCCAGTAGACTGCAATGGGCATTTCTACGCCAAAAGCATTCAATGAATGAACATAGATTCTCTCTTGTATCACCATAAAATTGGTCCTTGTACTTGGCTCATGTCTTCTTTCTAGGAGTCAAGATCAACTTTGACCATATGATTCAGAATGTAACAATCAAGACCTGTAACAATTTCATACACAGTTCTTTAAAGTTACACAACTGTTAATACTAGGTTGAAGGTTAATTTATCATCTAAGAGCAAAGCTCACAGAATTTCTTTTCAATTTATTAGCAGCTTCTTAAAAATGAATGCAGTATTATTATTAAAAGAATAGTCAATAACTGATTAAGAACACTTGATTTACTTGTGAATCAAACATTTTGTGAAAATTTGAAATATATGCAGGATATTGGCTTGTATTCAGGGGTGTCCTTGGGCCAGTGTAACAGAAACTGCTATGGAACATGATTTCATCATCTTTTCTTCCTGAAGCTCACGTCATTTTCCACAAAATTGCTCTAGAGTCTTAGAGGACTCTCTGGAGAGTTTGGAGGGTTCCTGGAGACTTTGGGAAGAAGAAGACGACAGGGAAGCCCAGTTCACCAAGTAACTTCTGTTCCATTGGTAGAAGGATATAGTTGGATACAAGTCAAACCTTATTATGACATTTAAACTAATTTTACCATTTAAAACAGTGTTATTACTTGAAATAATAATGCATTTACTTTTCAAGATGCTACTAATGGAAAAAATAACTTCAGTTAAATACTTTTCTATGAGCTACGCTAGCTGGAAAGTATCCAAAAATTTATCTTTTCCCGATATTAACAATAATTATGTAACATTAAGGAAATATATATGAAATGGTTACAAATCTTTTATATCTAATAAAATTTTTACATTTTGGCGTATTTATGAAATTTACAGTTTAGTGGAGATTATTCCCAGTGAGTTTAGTATCTTGCAGTTATTTGGAAGGAAAGGTCTAGCACAAGAAAGGGACAGGTCAAACACGGAGCAAACACAGGATGCTTGCTTCTACAATTTTGAAACTAAATCAAAAGTTATCAGAAGAATGCAAGCATCAATACACAAGTGATGAAGACCATTTCTGTTCCTCTTGTGGAGATGACAGCAGTCTCCAAGTGCATATATGCATCTTAGATTTTAACATTGTATATGCCTACAGAATATCATTCTCTAATGATTTATAGTGTCTCACATAAAAACATTTGTTCTACACATTTCAAGTGGAAACTGTCATAAATAGCATGTCATCCATCCTGAAATAGAAAATATTACATAAGAGTTGTTTTCAGTGTTTCCTAGAATTTCCAATTTTTCAAGTGGAAAAGCTAAAGGAAAAAAAAGGTCTCACGGAAGATGGAGAAAAATGCCACCCTCTCCAAATGCTTCCAGGGATTTAGTTATCTATTCATCACATGATTGCTATTATTGTTGTTTTAAAGGAAAAGAATCAGAAAAAAATGACCAGTTCTAAAATTCAGTTCTCTTCATAGGACTTATTCCCAAAGGCATGAAACATGATGTCCAAGCCATTTATGTATATTAAATGAAGATTCCACTAAAGACAGGCTAGTTCACACATTCATGTACGCAATTTGACATCTCATTACTTTTTAAATAACTGCTGTTGTTATTCAATGAAATCCCAAATAAGGAAATGCATGAATAAATGCCTGGGAGAATTCAGGCTGTGAGCTACCTACAGCATCCACTGTTGGCAGCCATTTATACTGCGCTGGCCTGCTGGACTGCAGCATGCTACTAGATGCAGCAGACTTGGCCATAGATGGAATTAGTTTTCATAGGCATTAATCCATAGTATCATACCTGGGCAGGAATAAGAGGAGAAATGAAAGACTTTTGATGTCATATCATTCAGCCTGCAGCTCAAAGTGTGAACTGGCTCCAATGAAAAATATTGTTGCTAAAAAGCAGTGAAAGGCGATATGAAGGCTCTGTGTTATCTTATCTGTGGCAGCTGCTTCTCACATGCAAACCATAACTTAATGTTTCAGTCATCAAGTGTGAATGTGCATGTGTAAATTCACCTGCAGTCTGACCCATTTTGATTCTTAAAGCAGGTCACTGGCCAGTCCTCTGGCTATTCTGCAGTCTATTTTCACTATCAATACCTGTTGAATCTCTGTGGTCAAAATTCTGTAAACCCTTTCAGAAGATTAAAATACTCTTAGTTGCCTTAGGGAACTATATAATTTTTCCAGACACTGTGAAATATTGTGGATTATTTACATTGCAGGTTCAGTCTCAGGAGGTAGCTGAAAATGTAGTTCAACTGGATTAATTTCAAACCTGCATCCTATGATACTTCTAAGGACATTAAATAGATCTTATCTTCCGACATGTCTTAATTTAGATGACTCTCAGCACTGCATGTGATTGTGCCCTGGTTTGTATTTTGCAACTGCTACCCTTTCAATCCATACGGAATTCCCTTAGGCAATGATATTTCCACAAATGCTTACCCTGGAACATATAAATTATTTCCCTAATCATTTGGCAGGCTCCAAAAGCAGTGGACTAGAGCCAATGTTGAATGAATGGACTTTCACTGGTGCAACATGACATCAACTGGCACAACAGGACTTTGCTGTATATTCTTCCCCCTTGCAACCTAGAGTGCTTCAAATCTGACCTGATGGGTCCCCCAATTCCCTAGAGCAGAACTGTACTAGAAGCTGCAGCAGGAAAATCCATGCCACTAGTAGGTGACCAGTGCTGGATCCAAATTAGTATACCAAATGTGCTAATATGACACATATTATATAGGTTATACCAGAATAAAAGAAATGAGGAGAAAGAGGTGGTAAGCTGCAAGGTTATGCCCCACTGATTTCAATGGACTTACTCAAAGTATGTCCAAGTCTGGGTCCAGTCTTATGTATAGATAACCACCATTTGATTATGATTTTGTTTCATAAAAAATTGTTGCCATTAAATTTGCACTGTAGCTACAAGTATGGAGCCCTTTTCATTAAGGACTGTTTTGTATTTTCCAAATTTAGTAAGCTCACTCCATATTTAAATAAATTTTGTAATGTGTAAGAAAACACTGTAATAAAGATGCAGGGCCAGTCATGATGCATAGATAGAAGGTGAAAAAATCCCAAGTCATCTTCTAACTAAAGGTTTCACTGAAACATCAGAAATTAAATAAGGTTCATTCAACTCATTCTTAAATTGAACGTTATGTAATATTTTCTTGAAACATAATGTTTCATCATATCCAAACAATGCTTGGCAAAAGATCTGTGTGAATGGACAGATTTTATTTAAAATTTTAAAATTTAAAAGGTGTTCAGTATTCAAACTCCTGTGTAACTGTAAAAAAAATTAGGGGCCATATTAATACCAATGCTAAAAAATAAAGATTGTAACATTCAAGCACTTAAGTAGTTTCCTTCTTGTTCTGTACGCCCTGCAAAATTGGCTATGAAATAAACTCAGTTATTATATAGAGATTTCACCATATTAGCTAAGATTCAGAATTCAAACACAGCTTGAAATGTGTTAAATCATAGTATAGTTACTAATACTTCGGTTTTTATCTTTTTGCTTACCCATCATATCTTTTGCCTTCTTGAAATGTTTATACCACCTCCCAAATTCCTGACATTTTGCTGCTGAGACATTTGCATAGTAAGTGCTGTTCACAATGGAAGAAATCATACTCTGAAAAGAAAGGGGGAAAGCATCTGAATTACTGAAATGTTTAACAAAAGAAGCTATTTTAATTATTTGATGGGTAATATTTTTAGTCTCAACACCATATTGAACTATAATTCTTTAGGCCCTAGACATTTATGCTGATATTCTTGAAAGAAACACTAGCCACACATCACTGGCAAACATTATGTAATATCTATTTTAATATATCTCATCACAGTCTATGGGCTGTTTTTCTACACATACATACATACACATAACCAATGTACTCTCACATATGTTGAAAATAATGTAAATGTTTCTATCTGAAAGATGCTATATAGTATGACCTCCTTATCTGGGTGTATAGGCTTCAAGTCCCCCAGCAGATGCCTGAAACCACAGTAGCAGTAAACACGATACAGCCAGCCCTCCTCATTCACAGGGTTAGGGGTGAAGGACTGCCACGAAAGTGAAAAAAACATGAATCGCCCCACCTCCCAAACTTAATACTCTTGACCAGCCTTTCCCAACCTTGTGCCTTCCAGAATCATTTAGACTGCAACACTCAGAATTCCATGTCAATGGCCTCTGAAGGTCACCAGGTTGGGGAAGGCTGCTGTTGACCATACATGTACTGGTAGTTGCATTGCAATTACCTCTTTCACAATTTAAACAATCTTTAGCTTAAAATAAGATCCGGTGTGCTGGAACACTGCCAGTTCTAGGCGAGTTCGTCCCGCATCATGAACTTCATATGTGGCTGTACACCTAGTCCCAAGTCTAGCGCCTGCCCCCCCCCCCTTTCCACTAGGACTGACACACCATTGTGGGCTGGCACTGGCAGTGGCCAGGAAGGGAAGTGTTCCTCACAAGGCTATGGACTAGTAGGTAAAATTCCAAAAAAACCCATCTTTCACACTGTGGTCAACTATGGTTTAGTGAAATGGCGGTAACTGATACAGCGCATGCAGGTGTTTTACTATACTATGATGCTATGGAGGGGAAGAAAATTGAACAAATGCATACTTTTGGAAATTTTACATTTCTTAGAGCTGCCCCTTTTCAGTTTGCACAGAAGGAGCTGCACGGGCTACCTATTCATTACTGGACCAAATTTGAGAATTGATTACATCTTTTGTGTAGGAAGGTTTCTTACTGCCCTGCCATGGTTTTAATGTTATCATGTTTTTAACGTACTTTTCTTATACTTGTATCCATTTCATCTTTTTACTGTTTACTATTCTAGAATCTGCCTAGATAAGAAGCAGTATACAAATTTGCAAAATAAAAGTAACAAATGTCCATGTTAGCTTGATCATATTTCCAGTGATATCATCTACAATGCAGACTTGTATAAAATTTCTATAAAAAATTTAATTATTCACTACAGAAATATGATTATTTCTATAACTATTGGGTAAGATCAAGATTTGTGCCGGATCAACTGCAGTGATGGAAGGAGTGATGGTACTTTTACAACAGCCCCATCAGTCCACTGAAAATGATGCATGGAGAGTCAGGAGATCTTGTTTGGAAAGAGTGATTTGTGACTCCATCTTTTCCTAAGATAGACCACCTTCCATCCTTGCAGTTCTAAGTGAAAATACAACTAACAGTGCAACCATGTCTATGTCCACTTAAATGTAAGCCCCACTGAGTGTAATGGAACTTGCATCAAGAATTGTGTAAGTACAGTTCACAGTATTTCAACTTAGCAGAAAAATCATATGGTCCCCAGTCAGCAACCAATGGGCCAAAGTTTTGTTCAGAAAAACCTCTGAACCTGCCTCTTCCTAGTCACCACAGATGTCTGTCATGGGTTCTTGTGTTAGAGTTGGCTAGTTCGAGAGTTCTGTGGATCAGTTTTGCCCCTGGAATCACCAAAGTCTACAGGCTGTGTTCCCTACAACAGGGGCAAAAAGATAACAATTTAGTGGCAATCTGTACCACAGCGCTACAAGGGTTACATTTAGCTTGTTTCCAAGATAAAGTCATCCAATTCAGAGATCCATATTTGGCCACTGGGGCATTCTACAGACATCCATTAAATGGACACCATTTATTTTTCCTCTAAAGCAGGAGTCTCAAACTCGTGGCCCGTGGGCCAATTGCCAGGATGGTAGGGCACGGGGGAGGGGCCCTGTGGCCTGCAAAACGTCGGCGGCGCCCGGGCCAGCGGCGGAATGAGCGGCCCACCACCACTGCGGTGGTGGAATACTTGATGCGGCCCAGCCTCACCCAGACTCTACTTCCAGCGGCCCCCAGGTAAGTTGAGTTTGAGACCCCTGCTCTAAAGGCTTCTGCTTGTTGAAAGCAAAAATCTGATAGTGTCAGGAGCATGCCTTGTGAACAAATCCTAAGCCTTTCCAATGGATCCTATTCTCTCCCAGCCCCCAAGCATGTCCTCAGGCCTAACAGAATGTCCCTTTTTGGAAGACTAAGAGGCAGGGCAGGGCAGGGCAACCCTCTGCTGTTCCTTTCCCTTTCTTGGCAAGAGCCTGGCAGGGTTTAGGATAAGACGGGTCCCTTGCCTTTAGCGTTTCTCAGCAATGTTAAAGCAGAATCATCACAATGAACCAGAGGGCCTTGATCAAAGAGCCATCTTTTTTGTATTGTTATCCTTTATGAATTCATGAAGGAGAGAGCTCATTACTAAAGCACCTTCTTTGCAAGTAGAAAGTCTCCAGTTCCATTCCTGACTCCTCCAGGTACCACTCAAAAAAAAAAAAAAAAAAAATCTTGCCTGCTTTGGAGAGCTACTGCAAATTGGTGTCAATCATACTGGGCTAGATGGACGAATGTGACTCAATATATGGCAGCTTCCCATGCTCCCATGTTTCATAAAGTTGGAAAACAGTGAACCAATGAAATATGATGAAGCAGTGGTCTGAGAAAGAAGTGTAAGGCACCCTTTTTCACAACAGTCCAGAATTGGAAGTCTCCAGGTGGGTTTCAGACTATATGATGACAGATGGATGTCATTCCTGTTATCATGTGCTAGTTGAGTATCATTTCAGAAAAACCGTTAAAATATTACTGTGTCAAGTCTTTGGAAGGCAATTTTGTGTTCACTCAAATTTACATGAAAAATACATTTTCATATATGTATTATCTTTCAAATGTACAACTCCCAAGTGTCTGTAACCCTGCCAAATATTTAAAGGCTCACACTGAGCTGTTTGCTTTTTCCCTTCAGCTTCAAATATTTTTGGAAGTTAACTTATATTAACCAGTAGGCAAAACTATGTACACAGGTTTAGAGCTATTTCATCATTTTCTTCACACAGCCTATAGGTGTAAATAACCTATATATCCATAGGAAAGAGAAACTAAGAGAAACCACAGTAAACTACAATGCCAGAAATAGAGTTATCTAAGACCTGGTAACAGTTTTTCCCCCTATGTCTTGAAAAATAAAAACGTAAAAAAGAAAATATCCACAATTAGTCTAAACAGCCTACAGATCTGTCTCTGGATATCATCTGTAAGATTACTTGAGTTCATATGTGTCTCTAAGATCCAGAATTATCTAAATATATACATGCACAGTGCTAATAGTTCTTTTCAGTTTTTTTCCCTGAGAGTCTGATGAAGATTTGATCTGAAATGGTGCCACCTTTGCAAAAGCCCCACTACTCTGGGATGATACCATCTGCCACAGCCTGAGCTTTCTGTTCCAGCCAAATGCATTATTTATAATTATATCTTCCATAACTGTGTGGCAACGGGGATTGAGTTTTTTCTAAAGTTCAATTTTGGTTCATCGAGGCAGCTTTAAAATGTGTTCTATATTCTGAATCCTGTCCTCTCATATGGTAGGAAAGGTGGCATTGAAGTAATTTTGGACATGTTTTGTAGGTTAAAGAAAAAAATGAAATACTCTTAATAATTTGTTTGCATTTATATCTTTATGTTTAGAGGACAAAAAGGAATGTTTCTAAGCCTTTTATATTTAAACCACTCTTCAGCAAATCAACAGAACAGCTTTCTTAACTATGACCTGTAGATACTCTATTCATAAATAAATGGCTTATGCTTAAAAGTGCATTGTTATTCTTTCTGAGAAACAACAAAAAGCCAAAATTAATCAGGTCTGTTCAATCATCTAAACCAAAACTGCTCATGCTTTGCTGCCAAATCAACCAGCCACTACAAAATCTGTTATCTGTGATTGCTCAGCTTCAGGTCAAAAAACCACTTATCCTCCACTGTCCCCCAAACCCCTTTCTACCATCTTTAAGGGTTGTACCTTAACAACTGCTTTTACATATGTGTAAAAAGGCTAAGAGCAGCTTAATCAAAGGCACTGCAATGTTTACAAAAATATACTATCTTACCTACCAGGGACTCTAGAGACGGATGTTAAGATAATCAAATTAGGCTATTATTTTGCATGTGCAAAATACTTCAAAGTATCATCTCCAAAACTTTCATAGCCCTTTCTGATTGTGTAAAGTACATATGGAAAAAGAAGCATTTATACTGTCTCATCTGTGTTAAAAGCTTTCAACACTCGATCAGCAGAGGGGGCAAGGCTACAACAACTTATTTACACAATTATCTAAATACGATTAAACAGCTGATGGACAAATATTAAACTGGAAAATGTATAGTCATTTCAGCTTAATGTAATCCTCTTTCTGTAAACACCCAAGATGATTTTTTCTCCAACTAGAACAGTCCTGACATCTCATAAGCCTAAGGGTGAATAGCAAGAGATTGTTTTTGATAGTTATAAATATTCAAAAGACATGCAGACCATCTGCTTTCATAATACAGGTAAAGTAAGACTGAAATGGTGACTGCTATACAAAAATGGTTCTTTTAACAAAGTCTTCCTCTCCTCGAAAACTATAAAGACAGATGTCAAAAACTGTTTATACAGGGTAATCAAGAGTGTGCAAGATGGAATATTCCTTTTACACAAAGCTTGTTGGAGAGTTGTCTATTCTTTTTTCCCATCTGCGTGTTGCAACACATTTCTAGGAGTTTAAACATCTTTCTTTCTTTTTTAATGGAGATTT